GATCGAAAGGGCACGGGTCTCCCCAGGTGGTACTGATCTTAAAATGGGAGACGTCTTCAACTTCCTTCTCTTAGGCCTGACAGCCCAGTTTGTAGTTCCCCAGCAGGGGGTGTCTCTGAAGTCAAGGACCAATACCCTGTTTAGGGCGTGGAGGTCTGGGCGGATACCTCAACTAGAGCCAAAATCTCCCATAACTCATATTTTGGCCCATAACTTTCCATCTGCACAAGTGACATTCCACCCGCGGGTAGATTATTATGCAGACACGTCTGAGGATTGATTAGATATGAATTATGAAATTATACACTGAACGGTTCACAAGATCTACTTTTCTGTTTTCCTATGTATTCAAGACAATGCGAGTGACCTATCAAACTGTTCGTCCTCTCGTGGCCAATCTGACATATGTCTGGTTTTTATGTAAGTCTCTCAAATTCCAAGATATGAGATATAGGGGAAAAATGGATTTAACAAAGATTATCTGGTCGTGTTTCCTTGGAATGTTCTTTGAACTCAGGGGAAAGCTTGCCTTATCTTATACGAGGTGTTACATTGCACAGGTTCTTTGGACAGTGAGGCCCCGACTCAGAGAGGTGTTTTATAGCTCTTGGCTCCCTGCTGGCTCTAGCCTGCCTGTGACCCTTCCAACACACATATGTCCCTGTGGATTATCAGAGAGGAAAGGGGGAAAAATGAGGGACAACATGGAGATTCTTAAGAAAATGGAGCACTGTGTCAGTCTCTGGTATGCACGTTTGCGACAATGACCCTCCACGTAGGATGGTCCAATGCTACAGCAACAGCCGAATCATTCAAAGCTCCAGAATGTTGATTGGGAGAAGAGATTCCCCTAACAAGCAAGTCTCCTACACCGACAAGGTGCCCAGGACTCCACCCCACCAAAAAGGCTGGTATCCTTTGTGAGGATCTTCCAAAAACCAGGAGGGAAAGACTTTGATTTCAGAGCCCAATTCCTGAACCACCAAGACAGGGACAACCTGGTCCTCGGTGCCAAAAGGAATTGATCTGTCCAGGGACAACAGAATATTGCATTGTAGAAGGCTGGAGTGAAACTGGGCAAACATGACTTCCTCCAACAAGGCCATTGTTGGACCCAGGACTCGTGCAAACGTGGAGAGTTGGAATAGTAAGTTGGAGAGTTTGAGCATTCACCGGTTAAAAAAAAAACACTCTGGTCTGGTACTCCATATAATGAGTCTGTTCCAGCAATAATTTCTGAAGGCACAGGGTCCATCCAAGCCACTGTCTGGACTTCAAAGCCACATGTGTCTGTCAGAACCCCTGCTGAATGGACAAGAGGTCATCCAAGTATACCACAATGGGAAAGCCACAACCGTGCAGCAGGGCTAGTATTGGGGCCAGAACCCAAGGTGCAGACAACAGGCAGAAGGACAGGGCCATGAAACTGGTACTGTAGTGTCCTACAGCAAACCATAAGAAACGCTGATGTGCCAGAAATATGGGTGCATGTAGGTACACATCCTTGATGGCCACCAAATCTAGAAAGTTTCCCAGGTAAAGGCAGGTAATGACAGACCTGGTAGATTCCATATGGATTTTCTGAGCTCATATGAAGACATTCAGTGCTTTGGGAACAAAGATGGGGTGGATGCCACCTTTGAGTTTGGAAACAATGAATAGAAGCAGAGGAACTGGTCTCATTTGTCAGGGCTAAGGAAGACTCCCAAGAGCAGTGGGCACCAAGATTCCAGACTGCAGGCATCGGCAGCATCAGTAGACGTGCTATAACAGCCCCAGTACTGTAATAGGCAAGGCCAGGGGTACCCGTGAAACGGGAACAGTTGATAGTCAATGAGGTTCGAGTGGCTCTGAATCAGAGAAGTACTTTGAGGAAGAAGGCTTGTCCTTCGAAACGCGTCAGCTGTACTGAGTGGCTTCCTCCATGATGGGATTCGCATTTGCATCTTGCCTTTAAAGTCCCTTTGAGGACTGACATGCCTGTTTTTATTCGCTGTTTGTGAGTACCATTCTTTTATTTAATAAATTTTGGTTACTGAGGTAATGCGCAAGGTTGGTGCGCTTCTTTTTTCTTTTTTGTTCTTCCTCACAGTTCTGTTTGGGCTTCCCCAGCCTTGGTGTGGAGCTGCACGACCTTAACTATTTCGGTGGTCCCCTCCTTGCTTTTTTGGAGTCTGATTCCATCTACTTACCACCAGTCTGGGTCCCGGAGCGCAGGAGATATCGCATTTGGTTCACTGTAATAGGCAAGGCCAGGGGTACCCGTGAAACGGGAACAGTTGATAGTCAATGAGGTTCGAGTGGCTCTGAATCAGAGAAGAATCAGAGAAGTACTTTGTGGGTAACATTTTACTAGATTGGAATCTGAAAGGTGCCCTATGTGGAACCCAGTGTTTGAAGGTCACTTCCAAGATTTCCTCTCAACATCCAGTCTAGCAGGGTCTAGATGTGGTGCTCCAGAAGTCAGGCTGAAGACAGCCTCAGCAGATAGCTGCAGTCAGACAGACCAGCTGAAGGAGAGATGTAGAGAATGTTTAATTGAAGAGTAAAAAAAAAGGGTCCTAGCAGAATAGGTTAGTCTTTTACGGGGCAGAGCTGAAAAGACATCCATTCTTCAAGGACACTAGCAAAAGACCGAGGCATGCTGGTTGTAGGACTGTACCTCTCCGGATTTTGGGGGTGTGGTCCACCTGCTTCAGCTTTGCTTGTCATTGCTGAACCCTCCAAACCAGAAAGACCCAATCCTCCCATGATGCAAAGCATGCTTACCTTGCGGTGTAAGTGAAAGAGGGGAGTCCTTTGACGTTTCGTAACACTGGTGGAAGTAGGGGGTTTGGAATGCATCATAATCTGAGTGGCAGTCACAGCAACCTCCCTACACTCACACACAGAGCTCCCCAATCCTGACATTGAAAGAACAGCACCATGTGGTCCCAGAATCTGACATTCACAGGCTCTTCCAGGATTTCTGGGCTGGTGCCCAAATCAAACGTTTCCCCCAACTGGGAGAACTAGAAATATAAGTAATGTGTCCATGGAAGCATCTCTGCTAGAAGACCCAGGCTGTTCAATTCAATGGGGTATTGTGCCGCCACACGAAGCAACCTGTCCTTCATGCCCAGTCTCCGTCCTTCATGCCCAGTCTCCGCCCTGCATGCCCAGTCTCCGCCCTGCATGCCCAGTCTCCGTCCTTCATGTCCAGTCTCCGCCCTGCATGCCCAGTCTCCGCCCTTCATGCCCAGTCTCCGTCCTGCATGCCCAGTCTCCGTCCTGCATGCCCAGTCTCCGCCCTTCATGCCCAGTCTCCGCCCTGCATGCCCAGTCTCCGTCCTTCATGCCCAGTCTCCGCCCTGCATGCCCAGTCTCCGCCCTGCATGCCCAGTCTCCGTCCTGCATGCCCAGTCTCCGCCCTGCATGCCCAGTCTCCGTCCTTCATGCCCAGTCTCCCGCCCTGCATGCCCAGTCAGCCTGTCTAGACAGTGCAATCAGTGCAAGTTGTGACTCCGGAAACATAAAAAAAATCTAAGTAGCTTTTATTCTCCTGGCTGTACAGCGATCACATGACCCGGCTCTCTCCCAGCCTGTCTGCAGGGAACCTAAGCAGGAGCTTGTAGTCCTCTGCTGTTGGTCACACATTCCAAATGAAAAAGAAAAAAAAAAACCCTCATGGTACAGAGTGAAAATAATATCAAACAGCTTTAAATTGTCATACAAATATTTGAAACCAAATCTGTTTTTTAACAATAACATGGTGTGGGCAGATTCCTGCCAGTCATAGGCAGGGTCTTAAAATAAGACGGAGGTGAATCCTCCGACAATCAAGACATAATATCCCACCCTCATTGTATATAGCTGCTTTGTGGGCATGGAGGAGGAAACGCTCAGCATAGACACTCACCGAAAACTGAGCATGTGCAGCAGCTGCCAACACTGCTCTGCAATATCCCCAACTGCACTGGGGACATGGACAGGAGGGGGGGAGACAGAACAGTAGGATCAACCAGGTTTTTCTACAGAATACAGAAAATGAATCCCATAGTGACCGAGTATGAATGGCATTTATTATTTTTATGATGGGGGTGTAAGCATACAACTATGTAAAGAAATATAGGATGGGGCCCTCCAGGGCCACAGCTACACAGAAGTGTTAGACAGATAAAAATGATCCTGAACCCTCACAGAGAGAGCACAGCCCTAATGTAGACCAATAGCGAGCGTCTCCATGCCATCCCCCCCACCGCACCATTACCTCAACGCCAATCCCCCCCCACCGCACCATTACCCCAATGCCAATCCCCCCCCGCACCATTACCCCAATGCCAATCCCCCCCACCGCACCATTACCCCAACGCCATTCCCCCCCGCCGCACCAATACCCCAATGCCATTCCCCCCCCGCACCATTACCCCAACGCCAATCCCCCCACCGCACCATTACCCCAACGCCATTCCCCCCCGCCGCACCAATACCCCAACGCCATTCCCCCCACCGCACCATTACCCCAGTCCCTGCAGTGCCAATCCATACTGCACCTTTAACCCAATCCCTGAGCTATTACCACAAAACCATCAGAGAGCCCCCCCCCCTTCATTCAGTTGTCCCCCAGGGGACAGATGAACTGCCCTCTATCCACCCACCACTCCATTAAAAGCTGTCCCTTGGGTGGCAGAAGGGCTATACCCCTCCCCCCACTTCATTCAGCTGTCCCTTGGGTGGCAGAAGGAATGCCCCCATCAACACTCCATTCAGGTGTCCCTTGGGTGGCAGGACTGGCCCCCTACCCCTCTCATTCATCTATTACTCCAATCAGTTGCACCCATGTGGCATGGCCCCCCACTTCCATCCAACACCCCCTTTGGTCATTATTTCCCCGAATTGTCAATGGGCTGGAACATAATACACAGAAAGAATCCTCCAATCACCACAAGAGACAGGCAAACAAAATTTATTGTGTTTAAAAAATAAAATAAAACAAAACCAATACACACATCCGAGGAACTCTACTCACCCGAGCAGCGGAAAGCTAATCCAACTGTGGCTGGAGCCTGGGGCCGCGCGGTCTGACTGGTGAAGCCACAGTCGCCCAGACTTTTATTATCATCTAGGAGCTGGTCGTCCTGTAAGAGAGGAGAGTCAGGTGAGAACGTTGGAGATGCCATCAGAGCCAGGAAGAGGCTGAGGAGGACCATCCCCCACCTTGTACAATCTCTGGTCTTCAGGAGCTCGCTTTAAGATTCCTTCCACGATCCTCTTCAGCTCGTACACGGTGGTGTTCTCCTTGGCGTCGGTGAAGATTGTGGTCTTGCCACGACGGATCATCAAAAACACATCCTGCCGAGAAAGGAGAGGCGAAATACAGAGATGATGGGGGATGGACAGTGGACAGGAGATCAAGCACTCCGCAATATGGAGATTTATATACATGTGCCGGAAAATCCATTTCTAGGAGTCACGAATTCAGATACCGATGGGTTATATTACTTCCTACAGGAGGCTGAACCCTGGTAAACAGAAAAATCCTAAACCATCCTGCAGTATACCCCTCCTCCACCCAGCATGCTTCAGTTTTATGTTAAGGTAGTACCAAGTGCATGAACAGAAACACAGAGGGAAGGGACCGGAGTCCCACAATGGACTCCAAGAAATGGGTTTTGGTACAAAAATCTAAAATTTTCTTCTCAATCCCTGAGGGACACAGGAATTTACAGAGTACCAGACCAACTAGGAGGGGAAACACAGGAAAAAACAAAAACCACACACCATGGGCTGCGACCCAGGATCCACAGCTGAAGGACTTGAGAGGAAACCTCCTATGTAAAAGGCCTCCCCGCATCCCTCGTGAAAGGCAGCCGCCCACGCACTCCCACCCCCCCCCCCCTGTGTGAAAGGCAGCCGCCCACGCTCCCCCCCCCCCCCCCCCCCCCCCCCGTGAAAAGGCAGCCGCCCACGCTCCACCCCCCCCCCCCCCCCCCCCCCCCCCCCGTGAAAAGGCAGCCGCCCGCACTCCCCCGTGGTGAAAGGCAGCCGCCCATACTCCCATCACACGAGCTCCTGGAACAGGCTCTAGGATACTGGGTGCTGCAGCAACCACCAGCTGGAGACTGGACCATGCCTGACACTGTAGATCTTTGCCGACACACCATGGACCTTCAAGTCTAAATGTTTTTTGTATTCCAGTATGATGACATCACAAACGAGAGTGCAACATTTCGGAGTCACGCAGGATCCCTTTGTCAAGCATTGAGATGCTGCTCTTCTGGTTACATGAATACAGTAGAAAAAAACTAACGCGTTTCAGCTTTCCGGCCCCTTCCTCATAGCATTACTGTATTCATGTCACGTGGCCAATAAAGAGTACCCAGAAGAGCACGCCAGGATGCCAGCGTCTTTCTGCTTCGGAATCATTATATGGGGAGTTGGATGTCCCGGCTTGTGCACCAATCTTCACCACGCATTCTAATGTACAGCGGCTGAGCTTGGGTAGGGTCCTTGTTTGAGTCCCTTTGTCAAGCACGCCTGATGAAGAGGTCCTGCGTGACTCTGAAACGTTGCACTCTCGTCTGATGCGATCATACTTCCATGAAATACTGCTTGGACTCAACATGAAGATCTGTGGTGTGCCGGCAAATATCTACACGGTGTCCTACCTGAAAGGTGAACCTGCCAACATAGTCAAGGGGAGAGCAAGAAAGATCAACCTGATGCTTCACACCAGAATGGAGGTCACCGCCAGAGAGTACTGACTCCGCACAGAAGAGACTGGCTCTGTTGACCACACCAAGTTGTCCAACAGTGGGCACAATCCACAGGGAGGAACGGGTTAAGGCAAACCGAAGACAAAGAATGGGCGAAGAACCAACCTGTCCGCATGGGCGAAGAACCAACCTGTCCGCATGGGCGAAGAACCAACCTGTCCGCATGGGCGAAGAACCAACCTGTCCGCATGGGCGAAGAACCAACCTGTCCGCATGGGCGAAGAACCAACCTGTCCGCATGGGCGAAGAACCAACCTGTCCGCATGGGCGAAGAACCAACCGCATGGCGAAGAACCAACCTCCGCATGGGCGAAGAACCAACCTGTCCGCATGGGCGAAGAACCAACCTGTCCGCATGGGTAGGCCCCGCCATCTCTGCTTCTTAGAGCCTTTGTGATTAAAGTAAGACTCTAGAAAAACCTTGCCTTTCATTTTGGATGGAGCAAGGGAGAGATACAACCCATCAGGTTTATTTTTTTTTGCCATCAGCGTCCCATTGGGAAGATTTACACTTCTGTCTGATAACCAAAACAGGAAGTGACCAAATTCAGGGAATTCCTTGGGGGCCCCCAGGTCACCAGAACCAGTGTCCCCATTGGAAGATTTCCTCTCTATTACTTTTCTTGTGACAACCTAAAATTTGGGGTTTTCCATTACATTCACTTTCAGCGATAATTGTAAACAGGACAAATAGAGAGGGGGGGGGGGGATGTCCCTAATGGGGTCACAGACAACAATGAAACCTGACAGGGGTTCTAATCAATCTCCACTCCACCCAAAATGAAAAATAAAGTTTTGCCTTTAGTTATACTCTAAAGGGAAGTTGCTTAGCCAGACATCCAAACTTGCTAATAAAAAGTGTAAAAATAAAATCTAAGAATAATGTACGGTGTAGTACGGGGCCCCTGAACCTACTGGAGAACGCAATGGATCGATTCCTCCAAGTCCATACATCAAAGAGGAAAAAGACAGATTCCTCTACAAGGGAAGGCAGAAAAAAAAGGCAGCCGGGCCAGAGCTCGAGACGGGGATCACCAAGTGACACAGAGGATGGCACAAGAGAAATACTCCGATACTCCTTGGTGACCCTGGGACCTGCAGGGAAAGGTGCAGCAAGACCTACCTACCCCTTAACCACAGCTGTTGGTTTTCGGAGGCTCCTGACTTCTGGACATTGCCACATCCCACAAAGACAGCAGTGAAGGAAGGACCTGGAATCCTAATCATATACTATGAAGGAGAACAGGATCAAGGAAGGCAACTTGTATGCCTCACCCAGGACGGTGTTGGTCAGCCATGTATGGTGGCCCAATCCCCCAATGAAGAGGTTCCACAAAGTCCTCTGGACAAACATCTCCATCTGCAGAGGAGTCCTGTAGCAGAGGACTAGGGTGCTCCACTTGATGGCAATCCACAGAGACACAGGGTTGTCCAACAAGATTCTCCATCCATTGGAATGATCTGAGGTGCACACGTTTCTCCTCTTGGACGCTAGGAGGAACACCTGGTTCCTAAGCAACAACCATCTAAAAGGGGCATCCAAATGGAGCGAACATCCTTGGCATCGTCCAGTTTAGGGTTGGTGGAATTCATCCTGATGCACAGAAGACTCCTAGTCCCTCCCAGAGATGAAAGTACTGCAACACCTACATGGTGGCTCTGAGTGGTGGCATGTGTGGCAGGATCACCAGGGAAAAAGCCTTGAGGAGAAAACAAATGCAGCCACCACATCTGGTAAGCTGCAATATATTGAGTTTTGGTGTTTGGTAGCGTATTAAACTGAACTACCATACCCACTGGAGGCATATGATCACCAACCATGGAGTCTGACGAGACCCAATCCGGTTGAATCTTACAGGAGTCAGGCCTATCAGAAGGGTGCTGACTGCAAGGAAGCCTAAAGCCAACTTACTCTGTAGGGGGATGGCCGAGCCCACCACAGTAAGGATTGCCAGGAGAGTGAGCCAGGCCGAAGCCAAGCACTTTGAGGAGCAATGGCGGTACAGACTGAGATCAGTCTAAATTTCCCTCTCAAAAGGAACTTTTTTGGTCCAGTCTGAGGTGGGGGGCGGAGGGCCCTTCAGTCTGTACAGAGGAATACCTCCAATAGTGGGTGTAGCTGTAGGGTCCTACACCTGTAAAGACCTTCCAAATCCCAGAGCCTGGAACAGCATGGTGATCCTCGGTAAAGGCAGGAGACTGCAGTGCCCAAACCGGATCCCCTCAGACTGCTTGGACCAGAAATGGTGACAATGGTCTGGCATGATCGAATGAGGTCAGAGATCGACTCTGCAGGAGGTGACGACGGAGCGTGCTGAGGCTCCGTGATCAATGTGTGCAGGGAGTTGGGCACACATGGGGGGAGATGTACTAAAACTGGAGCACTCAGAATCTGGTGCAGTTGTGCATGGGAGCCAATCAGCTTCTAACCTCAGCTTGTTCAATGAAACGGACAAAACCCGAAAGCTGATTGGCTTCTGTGCAGAACTGCACCACTCTGTGTGCTCCAGGTTTAGTAAATCTCCCCCATGGTCTAGTAGTCCGGAAAGGACGTGGAGGTTCCGGAGGAAGGGGATGAGGACCAAGTACTACCTGACAGAACCAAGGAGTCCAAGGATGAGAATGCAGCAGCAATGGGGTTCCAGAGGACAGGTGCTGGTTACTTCTGTGGACATGCAGTAGATGTCCCCAGAACTGTGAGGGGAGTATGGGCCGAGGTCACCCATAGCAGAGGGGCCGCTCTATGAGGACCCAGAACTGTGAGAGGAGTATGGGCCGAGGTCACCCATAGCAGAGGGGCGGCTCTATGAGGACCCAGAACTGTGAGAGGAGTAAGGGCCGAGGTCACCCATAGCAGAGGGGCCGCTCTATGAGGACCCAGAACTGTGAGAGGAGTATGGGCCGAGGTCACCCATAGCAGAGGGGCCGCTCTATGAGGACCCAGAACTGTGAGAGGAGTATGGGCCGAGGTCACCCATAGCAGAGGGGCCGCTCTATGAGGACCCAGAACTGTGAGAGGAGTATGGGCCGAGGTCACCCATAGCAGAGGGGCCGCTCTATGAGGACCCAGAACTGTGAGAGGAGTATGGGCCGAGGTCACCCATAGCAGAGGGGCCGCTCTATGAGGACCCAGAACTGTGAGAGGAGTATGGGCCGAGGTCACCCATAGCAGAGGGGCCGCTCTATGAGGACCCAGAACTGTGAGAGGAGTATGGGCCGAGGTCACCCATAGCAGAGGGGCCGCTCTATGAGGACCCAGAACTGTGAGAGGAGTATGGGCCGAGGTCACCCATAGCAGAGGAACCGCTCTATGAGGACCCAGAACTGTGAGAGGAGTATGGGCCGAGGTCACCCATAGCAGAGGGGCGGCTCTATGAGGACCGAGGAGCAGCAGCTGGGAGAAGCTTCCTCCAGGCTGAATGCAGAGCATGCCCAGTGGGTGACCATTATGGCTGCAGACCTGGAGAGTTCCATGACCAACAGGACACTCAGGTCTGGACAGGGACAGCCCAGAGGTTGAAGGTCACATTCCAAACATCCAGTCCAGCAGGTTCCAGGTATGAC